AAAAAACACAAAAACTGGAGGCACAGTTAAGTGCTGTTAAATATCTTTGAGGTAGAGATTAACAACAGGGAAAAAACAAAAAGAGAAAWTTAATAGATCTGCTGGAACCCTAGAATATAGCACGGTAGTTTTAAAAGTRCTTCCATCAGCTTTTAAACTTCATCACAGACTATTTCTTACAGGATCTTCAAGAGCACCTTTAGAGAACACAACTGTTTAAAAACACCTGCCAAAACTAACTGCTATATTCTCATCCAGTTCCTGAAGTGTAAGGGACTATTACTAACACCAAAGAGGTGAGATCGTGGTCTGATTGTASCTCTGTGTCCATAGCAGAGGTTGAAGGATGAACATGAAGACTTACAAAAAATATTTTGAACTTGTGACACAGATCACAAACAAAATGATTTTTCTGTGACTGAGACCTAAACCAAGACCACAGAATTTGGTTTTAAGGATGCTATCCAGGCTGATTTTTATAATGTGGCATGAGAAAAGACATGAGTTTCCTTGAGAGCTTTGTTCAAATTACTTTCAACTTCTAGCACAGGACACGAGTCARTGATAACATATTGTTGAGACAGGATATGAAAATGCTCTGTTAGAAGAAATGGCATCAATGTACTACACACATTATGATATTCTAATTTTACATTCTGTGGTTCCATTACACCTGTAAGGTTGAATAAGTACATCATTCTAAAGAATCAAAAGGTGTTTTTAAACTTACATGCCACCAAGGACTTGAACTGAAGCTATTCGAGGATTGTATCCCAGGAACTGGAGATTTAAGGTTTCTGTACTGAATTCGATTTTCTTTCCTTGGAAACCCATCTTTTCAAAAAGAGCTATGCAGGGCTCAGACAGCTCCTGCAAAAGGAAGATGAGTGTTTTTATAGGATGTTGGAACTCCAGATGGTGACTGTGAACATCAGTACTCCRCATAGCCCTTTTATTTCAGAGGTTTCTTCTTGATAGTTTAACATCAAAAACTGAATGTTTTTGCTCTTCAATTCACTACTTAAACTTGAAAAGTCATAAAAGACCCTTACATGAAACACACAAGGGATCTTCTCACATAGAACATAAAACTTCCTTACCTTAAGGCACAGATTTCTGTGTGCCTTAACACCTTAAGAATGTTTTAAAATACATTTTAAGCAATGCCATATCCCTCTTCCATTGCACTAATCCCCAGTCGTGGGAATTTTCATATAAAGAGCTGAACAGACAGAAAGATAATATTGATTTCTACAGCTTCAAATGATGACAGCCTTGTCAGCACTGCTTATCACTTACTGCTTTAATTTTTAACTTTTACAGTAGGTTATGGCAACTTCAATCTCTGACTAGACAAAAACTTCCAGACTAATACTCCTGAAGTCAAATTCATGACAAATGAAAACTGTTAACATCTGAATCCTCCAAATTGCTGTGGGGAGATGATTCTCCTCCCTTCCTGTCAAAATGCTTCTGGTGTCAAATGGATTCYGCCCACACAGAGCTCCCTGTGTAACTAAATCCAATTTAAATGTCTTCTGGAAAAGGAGCCTTGGACTCTTTTCTGTGGGGCAAGGTATCTGTAGTGGACTGGAAACAACCTCTCATAATGAAGGCCTTCCAGTRGAAGCTGGGAGGTAGGGTTTGAAATCCCCCAGGGTAAAGTCATTTAAGCCTGAGTGTCCTGATGTTACACTGTACACTCAGACAGAAATGACACTGCCACTCCCTTTCTCACAAATCTTSCARCAACGACTGCATAAAACCAACGCSGCAGCCAGAAGAGCTCCTTCCTGCTGGCATGTGTCCAGCACACTCACACACATCACCTGCATCGGGAACGCCTGACATGACGCAAAGTCTCGACAGACTCCCATCTGCCCTCAGGCATGGAAACAGCCCCTCCGAGRCAGAGCTGGCTCCATGCATGCGTGGCAGCTCATATATGCATGCTTCCATGTGTATTTATTAGGCAAGACCTCCCATCTACCAACTTGTAGACATTGCTTAAATTCCTCTTTAATCTTCCTTTAGATGTTTAAGGGCTCAGATGGCAGCGTTGCATGAGCATCACCATTATCTGTGCAGCAGTCCAGGTTWTCACACAGCAGCTGAGCTAGGCTTCCTGATGGCACACACGGCTAGGCTGTGGAAAATGCCCGGAGAGGCCTTTCCAGCTTACTCCAAAACCACAGTATGCTCAGCCCCACCATGAAAGGCGACAYCAGTTAGGCTCTCATGCATCACCACAGGTAAAGAGCCCAACAGGACCAAGCCACACTGTGATGATGTCCCAGTGYGTCTGAACTCTAAGCCCTTTTACAGACTAACACCTGCCCTCTGAGACATGCAACTGCTTTCAGCCTCATGCAGTGCTTTAGAAATAATCCACTTGCAAARAAAACAGAGGCAGAAAAGGAAATCCTCCAATTTTCTGCCACACCTTACACTGGGCATTTTTCTGATTCAGCACCAACACAGTTACATAAAAYATTCCCCACAGCAAGAAGTGCAAGGTCAGCTCATGAATTTTCTTTCAGTACTTCCTATGTACTGCACTGTACCAAGCTAGTGTTCCTGTATATCTACATGTAGCTGTTCCAGAGTTGCTCATTAAAAAGTAATTTCAGCATGGCTGTTCAAGCATAAACCACATTGGCAGCTGTTTTTTATAGTATGTTCAGGAAAAAGTGCATGTGTCAAATTTAAGAAGGAAAAATAGTATTTTCTATCTGCAGTGCAACCATGTGGAGCATGCAAAGCAAACACAACCAAGTAAAGATATAGTGGCAAAAAAGCCCCAAAAACCTTGAGCTTATAAACAGTTTTTTATATAGTTTCATAAGTTCCCTTATTTAAAAAAAAACCCTTTTAGTTTTCAATTACAAGTGTTTAAATATCCCTTTTTTTTTTTTTATGGTCCCTTACAAAAAGATCCCTGCAAAGGGGAGTTTAACTAGCTAAATACAGTAACATGACACTAAAATAGCAAAGGTGCCTCTTGTATAGAAAATGTTGCAGAAGAATCCTGAGGAAAGTTATAGAAATGGCAGATGGTGGGGAGGAATTAAGATTGGCACTGCCAAAATAGAGTCGCAAAATAAGTCTGACAGGTGAAACCAGGAGCTAAAATARTAAGGTTCAAGCTTCTGGAAAATCATGAAAAATAAACAATGTAAGTAGTTAGATAGAAATTATCATTATTTCTAGTCTGATTTGGTAATAAATCAATGAGCAAAGTAACCCATTTTCCTCTTCTCCACATCTAGGAAGMCTCTGAAGAAGGAAGCAGCAGCATATGATTTGCAGACAGATGCAGCTCTGTGCTACAGTCTGAAGTGGGATAAAATGTAGGACTAGAACAAGTTTCACAAGTGTAAAGAGCTTAAAGAGGTACAGAACTGGCATTTATGTTTTACCACAACAGCCTCYGTCACAAATARTAARTCTTTCAAAAGTAAGCTGATCCTTYCRGGTTGAAACAAGCATTTTAWACCCAGGAACTTCTGACATGTATGGAAGAGCCTATTTTAATTCCTGGTGATCACCCACCAAGCTTGACTAGATGCAATTCTATTGTTTTCAATGGGATCTGTCTACTAAACAGCCAAGGAGTTCAGAAGGCAGACATACTTGCTGTATTAGTTTGTTTACAGAGCACATCCAAATTCACCAGAGACATGAAAGAGGATGACACATTTTACCTCTCCTTTGGCAACTGCTGCACCATGGACAGGTTACCAAAATTACGGTGGAGTGCAATAAAGTTGCCATATTCAAAGAAGAGATTCAATAGTGAACTCGCCCTATTTTTARAATGAGCACCATCTCCTCAAGTTGTTGTAAATTCCTGGAATCTGGACCACATTTTGCTACTAATTACTCCGATCTTAAAATATACTTGCAGATTCTGTAAGGGATCCATCATAATGATTGGTTATAAGCTGGAGCAAACTCATTCCTGGCCACTGATTTTTTTTTGAGTTACAAAATATGTAAATGTAGTTTAGTTTGTATCCACCACACACAACAACACTGCCTGATTTTGCTGAATAGTATTGGGTGTTGCTTTACCTTATCTAGAAGCGTGCATTATTTTGTGATTAACTCAAATTCCATTGTCCTGATGATACCAACAGTGTTTTATAATTACATGTATTTCATGCAAAGTTGCTTAATTAAGTCTGCTTTTTTAAATATTCATCATAAACAGTCTATGGTACAGATATTTCTTCACACTGTCCTACTGCTGTCTCAACWTATTCCAAGTGGTCTCTCCTACTGGGAAATAAGACTGACATTCTTGACTCTTTAAAAAAGTTCTTTTATAAGTATTATTAAGAACAGGGATCCCAGGCAGCTGCTTCTGTGATGTCTGCTCTTTCACAAAAACAGCACAGAAATAAAAAAAAAAAAAAACTGACTAACTGCAGTTAGGACATTTAACTGCTACTGCACAGAAAATAACTCAAACCCAAACAAGCAAACAAGTCCTCCCAACCCAAGGCCTCCTCTGTTGTATGTGTGCCCTAGAATTTTTACTGTAGCAAAAAATGGGGAAGTCAGAATCATCACTTATCCTTACAAYATAATGGCTTTACTTACAACATTTATGATCCGTAAAGATTTTATAACTGCTTGGGGTGAACAACCCATTGCTGTCAGATCAGGATAGATCCCTTCTTCCAACACATACTGGTTACCAGAGAATTCCTCCTGGTCATACACTATGCAGCTGCAGAAAGAAGGAGAATAAGTTTCCTCTTAAGAAATCTATGCACAGTAAAATGCAAAAACATTATTTATAATATTTTGCCCTGAAAGACTGATATGCAAACTGCAAAGCATTGTTCACTCTAAGTGCCCATACATGAAACCACCTCAGATGTTAGAAAGCTAGTTAGAAAGAGAAGTTGCTCTTCTAAAACTTCTACCATTTTGGTKATTTTGCAGTATTCATTCAATATAACTTACCTTCCATCTACAATTTTTGAAGACTTCACAGCAAATGAATCAATACATCCTGTGTTTTTTTCAAATATTTGGCAGTTGCCCTTGAATTCAGGCTCTGAAAATAACTGGACCTTTAAAAAGTTATAAACATATTTAAGGAAATTAATTTTTCTACCTTCAGTAACATCTCTACCATTACKTCTATAATTAGATTAAAACATACTTAAAACAACCAGACTTCCTTGGTTACATATAGGTTCTGTTACCGCTTCAGTGTTACAATCCTTGTTCAAGAGAGCATGGGAACAATTACAAAAATTACTTCTGGCTGTAAATCACTTAGTAACATACAAAATAATTAAAACAACACTAGCAAATATAGCTCCTTGGTCTGTCTGCTAGGCAAGATTTTTWAATTCCCACAGAATGACCAGAACAGGCACATACTTATTAAAGGACCATGAAAAGTTTTCTTTTAGGTTATCAATCTGCCTAAACTCCAAAACGCACACACTTCCAAGTAAATGAAAACTCTCTGCCACTCAGAACACTAATGGTGCATAAACCTGGCAAAGAACTCAGTATGCCAWGGGGCATGGAATATATTCCCAGGGTGGATGGGCTTTATGTGCCTGTTACAGCTACAGACACAGTCTCAGACACAGTTGGCTCTTTCTCTACTCCAAGGATAAGGGAGGATACCTTCCCCAGCATCTTTTGCCCTTGTTAAAAAAAAAAAAAAAAAAAAAAATCTAAGCAGCAAACTTGCTAATTTGGTTAGAGGATAATTAGCCATGATCACACAGAAGTCATTCACATTATCACATGCCTACCAGCTTTATTCACTCTTAATAGAGAGAGGAGTGTGGGCAGGTACAGCATTCTCCAAAGAGCAACATGCTGACAATGGGTGCAGTCTGTTGGCTGCAAGCCACTACTTTGCTTCCTTAGGATAAGACCTTCCTGGGGWTAGGGTCTTAATAGGCACATAATATACAGATGCAAATAATATTTCAGGCACACAGCTGAAAATAAGCAGCCTTGAGATTTTTGATCCCTGTAGTTTATGCATTATCCCTATGCAGGAGATTCTAGTGAAGCGTGCTACTAACYAGTAGGAGCAAACCAGGACAAGTAAGAATTGTCTCCTTAGGTTTTGGCTCCATGATACACTCATCATTTTGACTGAAATGAAAATAAAAATAACTTTGTACAGGAACCAACCTGAGGAGGTTCAGAATTAAGAAGGATGAAAAAAAGCTGCCCGTTAGCCTCACTATCAAAATTACATATTAATACTTGCACACAGGACACAATCCAATGTGGGAATAAATACATTAACTCACTGAACAGATGAGCTTTCCCTGCCATTTCCCTCCCTTAAGTTATTGACAAAGCTGGCATTAACTTTTAAGCACAATTCAGCAGTATTTGTGAGTGAACAAGACTCCCTTCAAGTGCAACCACCATTAKCAAAACTCTTAACCAAAGAAACAGGTTCAAAAGGAATTAAGTCAACTGTACCAAGAACATCAACGTCTATCCTGTAGTGTCCTCACTAAGARCAATATCTCTGTTGTAGGGCCTTCACCTCAGCAACAGACTCCAGATCCTGCACTTCTGCATACAGGGCTGCAGGCTCCAGCTCCTCAGAACAGTCAGTGATATCCCAAAATACCTCACTTGCTGAACCAAGACATTGCCAGTGCCCTAAGAAAGATGGCAATTGTGTATTAAGTCCCATCTGCACCTACTCAGTAACACCTGRGTGTTCCACTGGACAAAAAGCCATTTCCTTATTTACATGTTACAGACACTACTAGTATGTTTCATGTGCTTAGACAAGTATCTTACCTTGACTTTGCCCTTTTCGCTTCCAACAATATCCTGCAAGAAGTTTTGAGGGAAAAAAGGAGAAAAAAAAAATATTTTCAACAGTGATAAAATAACATACAAAATTTATTATTAATCATTGTTTAAATAATGCAAATAAACTGAATTTGATAGAAAAAGTATAGTTCCAAATACTTCAGAGAATCTTGCAAAACAAGTATAAAATTAACTCCTTACCATAACAATGGGTTGAACTGAAGATATTTTGCAATTCTTTCCYCCCCATGCCTCAATGCTGGGATATAGCCCTTTAGTCAGTATATACTGCTCCCCAGTAAACTCAGGATTCTCATAAGCCACCCATCTAAAAGAGAAAGAAGAGGAGGGTGGTTGGTAGAAGTCACACTACTTTTCTAAAATACAGATATGTATATTCATTACTATCTTAATGTAAGAACAAATAAAAAATTTCTGAAGTGCCAAATTGTGATGCTGTTAAAAGCCTAAACAAACCAGTGTATCTGATACTGCAAACCTCATGCAAATTTTGCTACCTACCTGCACTATGTTGATACAAATCAGAGTGAATTAGCTAAAGCAGACCACAAGCTCAGACACATCATCTGCTAGTTATCCTAAAAGTTATCTCCAGTAAGAATATTACAAGATGTTTTACAATTCTGTTATTTTACCTAGGTCAAGTTCTTCTCTTAAAAAAATTAAGCCAAAACCATATTTCAGAGTACAGCTTTTTTGACAAGACTAACTTTCAGCATCATCTGGACAGTAAATGTAGCCAYACTGATTTTTAATGTTACCTGTAGCTACAGTTCAGTTGTGTTTAAGCAAACACACACCCCAACAGGATGCTGAGCTGCAACAACAGGCATATATGCTAATCAGAGCAGACTGTTYCCTGCTAGGAATCAGAGACATCAGCAAGAATATCCTTGAAAGCTGAAGGTTGACCAGATYGATGTATTTAAATGCAAAGCCCTTATTATATAACTACTCCATTAGATCTGATGCCTGACATAGGCCACAAAAGAGATCTGCATAAAATTTTCTGTCTCAGAATATGACTTTTTGAAAGACATTCAACTTTTGAGATGATACACACTTGAAGTATTAGAAAAGCAATCAAATCACTATATATGTCTGTCAAATATCCAATTACCTCTGCAGTGCTTTGGGTTCAGTCTTAAGTATCTGCTCTCAGTTATTTATGTATGCATAGTCTACTACATTCAATATATCTTCTACAGTGTTCTTCCAACCCTGGTTCCATACTGAAAGCCCAGAGCACCTCCTGCATCTGTACTAACTTCTCCTGTCTTGCTAGACTGCCCAAACTTTCCCATACTTACACTCTGACTTCCTTTTTTCTGTTTGGTTGTTTAAGCGCCCATATGAGAACAGGCCACAGTGGCAGCAGAGTTTCATTCAATACATTTAAACAGGAATTTATGCAAGAATTAGGACATCTTGCTGGTTCCTAATTCGACCAGAAAATCATCTACTTGGAGCCAACCAGCGTTTAATTTTAGCCACTGTGATGCATTACAAATGCATGCTAGGTTATGCCAAAGCACACTTTCCGACGGCTAAGAAATTTACTGAGTTTCAACAGTGACAAAAAACTTCACATCATAAAGCAGAAAAATGACAAAAAACTTTTCATTTGCAGTGGAAGATAACTCCCACCATCAAAATTCCCCATAAATTATCTCTGTGTGTTGATCAGTTGGATTCTCTACTAAGCAGCAGTTTTATCCAAGTACATGTGACAGTCTCTGCAGATAAAAGAAGTAGGATAACCTCAAACTGAAATAAAGCTGCATCAATGTGTATGTGCCAGGAGTATGAACTTTTTTTACTTGTCCATGGCAAACACTCAAATAATGATTCACATAWATCACTATTCACATCTCTTGGTTTGCCTCAGATATAATCAATTATTCCAACTTGTTACGCACTAATTACTTACGGCATATTTCAAGGCCCATTTCAAAATCACCTCAGAGTAATTAATCAAAAAGACACTGGTATGTACAATAAATTGAGCAGAGAGTTCAAATGTCTCAGATGTGTCTATACCTGTATACCACATCTACCAAAAGCAGTGAAAATGCTGTTTCCTTAAACCATTTCTTCAGCAGACATTCATTAGATTTTTCAATGCACAAGTGCCAGGATGTAATCATGGTGCGTGACAGTTTAACTCAATTGACATCCATGCAAACAAGTGATATTAAGTGAACTATCAGACATGTTAGCAGCCTCCCAAGAATCCCCTGACAGCAGTTATTTAGTTTCCCCCATTTAAAAAGAAGCCTAAATGCAGAAGTAACCAATGAATCTCACTTGCACATGTTTACATTTAAATAAATGGGATTTAAGTAATTATGTGCCACTCTTCTATGCAAGTCAGCCCATGCAGTTAGACAGCTCCTAGAGTCAAGGCTTAATGGTGAGATGCTTGTGCTTCTCCACTCTGTTCAGAAGCCCATATAAGCTGCTGAAAGTAGTAACAACATCATCATCAAGGGCTGGGGACTGACTTCAGTACCAGACAAACCTGTCAGACCTCAAGACTATTCCCAGGAAAGGCGCACTGCCTTAATCCAACTTCTGAGTTAACAGAAAGGCATGGAGAACAAGACATRGCCTCCATATCTGAGCAAGAGAGTCACATATCAGCTGCCAGRCACAACAAAAACTGAAGTACTGCTCTGCAGCATGGCAGCAACCCTCCTGCCCCACAGCGAGCAAGCTCACCCAATACAATGGATTTTGTAACCCCCAGATGTACAGACTGCCTCGGTGAGGCTGAGCAGCAGCTCCAACCCAGGCTGCTGACAAGAGAGTGATGGAGTCCTTCACTCCTGGGCACCATCCATCCCTCTGAAACCAGAAACAGCATAAAGCTTTGATGATATATTGTTAGTGCTATTACACACAGAGAATCTTTCTCCAAATGCCTCTATGTATGACATCTAGGAAGTGCAGCTCCCAACAGGGCCTGAAAGTACAGCCAAGAAAATAATCCAGACATGGGTAACTCACCAAAAATCAGATTTGCCCTTGGTTAGCCCAGGATTCACCTTCTATAACTGTAGGAGGGGGTTCAGAAAGTTAATTGGCACTTGCTGATTTGTACCACAATTAATAGATAGGATGAGGTAATAAAATTCTGTTTATAGGAAAGAGAAAAGAGGTTCATCATGCTCCTCTGGGACTGTGATTCTTAGTACCCCAGGGACCCACAAACATTAAACTGGTGAGTCCTTGAAAGGTTTTTTTTTCTGACATCATTTCAGAGATAGAAGTGAAAGTTTTGTTGGGGTATCCAGGGGTACTTGCCCTTTTCAGTTCCCAGTGGAGGTTTGTTCTTGCACTTGCGTCTCTTCAGTTTCCCTCATGTTACCTTCCTGAGTGCAYGTAGATTAAATTTACTACCTTCTGGTTTCTGTATATGAACCACTCACTATCCAATTATTTTCTTAATATCACTATCCATAAGTACACTAGAAGCATCCCAATCTACAATGTGGATTAATTACTTGAAAACAAGGGGAAAAMCAGGCTGGTAACATGACCACAGTAAACACATCACTACATAAAATAAACAAATCTGGAAAAATTCTTCCAGCAAGTTCAAAAGGAATCAACAAAAGGCAAGAGCTCCTTCAGGAGTTCTGGCAAAAGTTTGGCATGTTTATGGATAAAGAAAAGGCACATTTCAAACATGCAATTCCTGTGATTTTGATCACTATTTAATATAAGCTTGAAGAGGTTTTTAAACAGAGGGGAAATCAAAAYTGTACAACACCTGACTCTAGTACTTGCATGAACTTGTACAGGGTGTTACCTGTTGCTAGTAAATAGTTCCAATTTCCGCCACTTCAAATTCTACCAATCTGGAAGTAAACAACAAACCCTACTTTAAAGAAGAAAGGCCTCTCCTATTTTCAGGCAGCCTCAATTACTTTATCCTAATGGCAGAAAAATAATTTTTTAATTTTTTGTTTGGCCAGCCTCCRGAAATGCTCAAGAGCAAAACGTTTTCATTTCTAAAGAAGTCAGTCCTCATCTCCTTAGGATATATTTTTCACGATATCTTCACAACGGATTCAGCAAAGACATGAAAATATTGCTTGGAAACATGTTTAGAAACATAATAGCTAAAACTTCYAATGCAACTAATGCTAAATTACCCCAAAATGGAATATTCACTCCCCAAGTGCAGAGCTGGGCTGTTTCCAGCAATACAGTGCAGAGATGCAGTTAACTCAGAACTTGTTCAGTAGTATCCCTGCACTGCAGTGTCAGGCTTTCTTTTCTTTGATATACCCTTTAAATTACTGAGCAATCAAAGTAATTATGTTGGAAATACAGWTCATCTTTTATCTTACTCTTCTAACTGCTTACCCCAGATACCTGTACTTAAGAAAATTGCTATGAAAGGTTCAGGGCTTCTTACATTTTTGACTTCTTATTTTAATTAAATGTTTTCAATATAATACCAGGAAGGTTACTTCAAAATATTATGACAAGCTTTTACTGAATCTGTCACAGTTCACTATGTCGTCATCTGTACTACAGCCTAAACWGCTCAGGAAATTGCTCAATAGATTATTCATTGCTTTATGACAGATTTCTTGGAAGCAAAGATATAAAAAAATCTTCTACCTGCACAGACGGTTAACATTTAAAATAAAGCACTGTATTGCCTAACATGAATCCACACAGATCATTCAAGCTTTCTGACACATTAACATTCAGGAAGATCACCACAAAACCCTCAAACACTCACAGCCTCTCTGGAAACAGAGGGGTTGTACAAGACTCTTGGAGTGCTAACTACCTGTTATGAACAATGCATCTGAATTTTAAAAAAGCTTACTACTACAAATTACRTCTTTTGGAGACTACAAGGTGAGATTACAGGAGCGGTAGCAGAGTCTGTGGGACAAGTTTTGTTCGTCAAGACTTCTAGCCACCTTTGCCATCAGAGCATTAAAGTCACTCTTAATTACTAGAATACTCAAACTCACGTATGATTCCTATGTCAGCTGCAACAGACACATTTACRAGAACAACTACATGAAGGGCATGATAGGTAACCCACAATTTGTTTCCCAACCTTCAGAGGAGACTCTTTCCCATGAATCTCCCTTGCATATTACAGAAGACAGAAGAGTACAGCAGCTTCAAAGGTCACCAGGCAGAAAAAAACCTGCTGTCACAACATATTCATACACAAATTAAAAGCATTCCTCTGGAATGCACCGAACTTGATTCTGCAACCTTTATCCAGACAAAACTTGCAGAGATATAGCACAGATAATACGTGGCAAGATTTAGGGTGTGGCCGGGTAAGGCAGAGCTTCCAGCAAGTCACCTGCATGCATACCAGGCAAGAAGACAGACCGTACATCTCATGCTCTTTTGGTTCTGCTACTTCAGTTCATTTTGTGTGTTTGCAGCCATGATTACTAATACTTGTCTGCATTTCCAAAACACTTTGATACATTCTGCAACGCTGTGAAACTCAGCATCTGCAACTGATGGACTAGACTAATCAACAGCAAAGTCTATCACCTGATCAGCTGCATGTGAGACCACTCATGGCACAAAGAGTTAGTTTGATAATGGACAGGGCTTTGGGAACCATATCTTCAAAAAACCCCAAACAAACAATAAAAACCAACACCACAGCATTAAAACAATGTTAACCTACAGGATTCACTGCAAAAACAATACAAATTTTCAGAACAGTTACTCTCCCCAGTATCAGAATGTATTAGTGAGCATGGTAGGAGTTCTCTCTATTTCACAAACAAGTGAGAGAAAGAACAAGGAATCTACCTCTGGTCAAATGCAAGAAGCCTGGAAATTAGTTCCAAAACTGGAAATTATTTCCGTAACAATTTTGCTGCTGAAATGCTTAAAACAAATGCAGCCATAAGAATAAGATACTTCTTCCTCTCTTGATGAAATGTCCTCTCATGCTTTCATACTTGGTGTATTAGAAAGTCAACGCTTCCTGGGGACTGTCTTATCTTATTGAGAGACGAAAGACTATTTACTGTACATATTCACAAAAAGCTTTACTTTTCACATTCTATGGGCAAGGGCAGAAAATTTTATCTGAAGACTCCACATAGAAGTCAGAGTGCTGAAGAGCATCTACAAATACTATCAATCTCTATAAAGAACAGCATATTTAAAATGAAACTTGGAATAAATATATCACTTACACGCCACTTAGCACATTTATAGACTGCGTCCTCAGCCCATATCCAGTGTCTTTCAAATTGGAAATAATTCCTAACACGTTGATATTGGAACACTTTGATCCAAAGTCTTTTTCACTGTACATTATCATGTGTGAGCTTGTGAAGTCCTGTGAAGACAAAGAGAAGCACCGGTGATGAAGGTGCCATGTGACATCTCAGAGCACTCAGGAGACCCCTGCTATGTGCTCTTGGGACTTACGCCAACAATGGGTCGCAGGGACTGCAGCGCCTCGTCGTAGCCACCCCAGTCTGTCCAATCCCGATACGCTCCTTCCTCCAGCAGGTACTGATGGCCTTCAAACCCGGGTTTCTCGTAAGCAACCCAACTGAACAACAACAACAACAACAACAACAACAACAACAGAGCCTGCATGTGAAAATGGACAAGTGCCACTCTGTGTTTTCACAAAACAGATGCAGATGGGTGATATTTACTCTTTTGCTATGAATATTTTCAAATTTAACTCTGGTGTGTATCTCAACTCAAAAACTAAGAAAACAGATAAATAAACAGGGACTGGATTTGTCCACTGCAATTTCCAGCCTATATGGASTTACTACTTCAGCTGAAGGGTAAATAACGCTTTTCCACACTTACACTCCGCCCAGCACTTTCAAGGATCCTACTGATGCAAGTGGAAGTCTTTTCTTGTCTTCTGATTCCTTGTCTTCAAGCATAACGATCTCTGATTCTATTTCCACATGCTTCCCTTCAAAGAAAGGCTTCTCATAAACAATTACCTGTAGTGGAAATGAAGCAAAAGTTGCAGGGAAGATGATAAATTCTGACAACAGACAGTTTGCTTTGCATGGGCACATAGAGGGAGAATGCCAAATGATGAAAGCAACTAGTGGGATCTCTCTATGCTCTACAAGAGGCCTTTCCACTAGAGATGCATCATGAGGGCTTGAGCATTTATTACCCATCTGCATTATCTGGATTGCTGATAATGCTGTCAATATGCATGTGATGGATGCAGAAATGTGACAGAAATTGCAGTTTCATGGTGTGGTCACATACAAAAGGACTACCCAGCAAACCATCAGTAGCTGGTATACAATCAAAGCATACTTATTAACCCATGTGTAGCTCATGTGCTGCAAAATAGCTTTGGACAATCAAAAACATACTTTTACCTTTGGCTCCCCACTGAATTCGACTTTGCGACCACCCTGTTTAAAGAAAATAAAAAAGGAAAAAAAAAAGCTGTTTATAATTTAGACAACTTATAGATATCTCTAAGAGTCATCAATTCTTTACARAAAGGCAGGACTAAGGTGAAATATTCCTTAAAGAGCACAAGTGAAAATAGAAACCAAATTAATGGCAGAGATGGATGCAATCAAATGTTGAAAGTTCAAGAATTTTGTAGACTAAAATTTTTGGGTTTTTTTAAAGAGTTAGATTTTTGTAAATCATGTAAAATCTGGCCACGGCAATACAAYAGTTATAAGACATAAACATAAGTCACTTAACTTGCAAGTAATAAGAATATTTTACCATTTTCAAGGGTCTCATGGACCTAATGTAGGCTTCCTTCTTCTCCCAGAATAATAAATTAGGATATTCACCAGGTTCCAACATTAAAGGRACTCCCTGGAAACCAGGCTCTTCATAAATAAGCCATCTAAAAGGAGAGGAGATTGAGAAACAAAAGCAAGATATAAAAACCTCAGAACATCTCTGAACAGTAAAGAACAAGACAATATGCTTACTTCAGGAAAGAGATCATTATATCCTTAACARAACTTTGCTTCTTTGCCACCAAAACTACCAGCTACAAGCTGSCATACTGTCAGACTCCCATGCTCCAAAGGAACCACCAGTAACACATGCCTTTTGTTGGACCAGGCCAAAAGAAYTAGAGAACTGTTCACAGTACAGTGAACAGTAAGAATTTGACTCTGTCTTATATGAAGGCAACCATATCTAAACGATATATCAAGATTTAAGCTTATTCTATTATTTTTTAGAATAGTTTTAAAATGCAGAACCAATTTACAAGAACCTAAAAAATCCCTACTAAACTAGACTTGGATTTGATGCAAAACCTGCTCAATAAAAAAAAATAATCTTATGTTATTTACTAACACATAGAAAAAACAGGCAATTCCTTAGAAATGTACTTTCTCATGATTTGTGTCTGCTAATAAAGCTTCTTTGAAAGACATAACTTYCAGAATTCTTGATAGGGGCAGCAAAAGTAGTTTTTCAAAGCTTTTTTAAAAAAAAAAAATCTTAGCCAGTAATCACTTACAGGAAACAAAGAATTATACTGCTGATCTCTGCAATAAGRATGTCATAAAGTATTTTTTTCGATATAAATTTACTGATCTCTAAGAAGTGCAGTGTGGAGCAGTATAAAACACACAAACAGCAACACTTTATGCAGCCAACTCTTTAATAGTGTAAGGACCATAAAGTATATATCTGGTGCTATCAAAAAGATATTAAAACAATCCACCACTCTGTCATGCATTAAAGGAAGATTCCAAGCTAATGTAAACTGGCACAAATGGATCATTTCATTGCAGACACGTGGCTCCAAGAAACAAACAAGGTGCTTTAGGTTTATTACTGTCTATAACTGAATGTTGGATATATTGTGTGCCCTGTATTCACATGGCTCAGTAAGCCCTGGCTTGTGGCTGCCCACACATGGTATATCCGAGGAGTCAATACGGGTATGAATTCTGTTTAAAACCTTAACATCGATGATTTGGATGGGGRAATTTGAGTCCTCCCTCAACTATTTTGCAGATGACAAGAAGTTGGGTAGGAGTGTTGATCTGCTGAAAGCTCTGCAGAGGGTTCTGGATCAATGGGTCGAGGCCAAAGGATGAGGTTCAATGGGGCAAAACGCCAGGTCACAACATCCCCAATCGGTGCTCCAGGACTGGGGAAGAGTGGCTTAAAACTTGCTTGGCAGAAAAGGACGTGGGGCAGCTGGTCAACAACAGCTGAACGTGAGCCAGCTGTGCCCAGGTGACCAAGAAGCACAGTGGCATCCTGGCCTGTATCAGCAATGGTGTGGCCAGTAGGACCAGGGCAGTGATGGTCCCCCTGCACCTGGCATTGGTGAGGCCGYACCTCGAATCCCGTGTTTGAGGATCAGTTTTGGGCCCCTCACTACACAAAGGATATTGAGGTGCTGGATTGTGCCTACAAGGGGGCAATGGAGCTGGCGAAAGGTCTGAAGCACAAGTCCTGTGAGGAGCAGYTGAGGGAGCTGGGGGTCTGGAGAGAATGAGACTCTGGGGAGACCTTATTGCTCTTTACAACTGCCTTGAAAGGAGGTTGTGGCCAGGTGCTCTCCTCTCACAAAGAACAGGTGACAGGACAAGAGGAAGTGGCCTCAAGTTGCAGAAGAGGTTTAGACTGGATATTAGGAAAAAATTATTCACTGAGGGAGCTGTCAGTCGCTCAGGAACAGGCTGCCAGGGGAGTGGTGGAGTCACAATCCCTRTAGCTATTTAAAATATGTACCGTAGTGGTGCTTAGGGACATGGTTTAGTGGTGGCCTTGGCAGCGTTGGGTTAATGGTTGAACTGGATGGTTTTATAAGGCCTTTTCCAACCTCAAGGATTCTATGACTAAATTCATGGCAAGAACTGACACACATGGAAGAACGAKGAGAGAGCACAGTCAGAAGATAAAGGTGCATTGACTCATTTTTGTTGGCAGCTTTTAACAAACAGCAATTAAGCATGAACACTGGGAAACTTTAAGATGATACAACCACACCCACCTGGCGAGGTGAGTCAGAAGCAGAGCCTCCCTCACCTGCCAGTACAGTGAACTATATGATGCCTGTAAACTAAAGGCAAAAATCCCCTCAACCCTGCAATATGCAAAAGAGCAGCAGCCATCTACTTAATTTCTCATGGAAACATCTGCTTTCTACACTGGACTAATGAACACATATCTGAGAAAAGACATTGAAAAATAATCTGTTTCACTTCCTGCTTTCCCTCAGGGATCCAAATGCAAGAGAGAGATACTAAGATAGCAAGAGTTTACGTGCATGTAGTAAAACAATGCTGTTACACTGATGAGAAACAAAGACAAGTCAGATATGTCCATAGGCTCTGCCTCATTTAAAAAAAAAAGTGGTTTAACTACCTTTTTTAAATGAGACAGAAATAAAGTGGAGACATAGATGAAATGAATTAACAATCAATCTCCAAATACCATATCTGATTTCATCACTCTTGGGAGACATGTAATTTGGATTAAGGTTGCAGTTCACCAGAAATAACTTCCTGTCAGAGAACCAACTACTTGGACATCTTCAAATTTGCCTATATACCAAAATATTTTGGTTTTTTCCACAAATCAAAGTGTAAATATTTACTCAGACAAATACTCTTCACCTAACAACAACAACATCCATATATCATGTGGCATATTTGAATACAACTCTGCAGTATTATGTACACCTGCCTTTAGCTGGGCAGGTTTTGATAGTTAGGCCATTTGSAGTAAGGCAAGTGCAACCAGTGCCCAAATATAAGAGCTAACAACCAAGGTCTGTACACCCTGTAAGAATCTCTGCAGGATCCAACATGACTGAAAGTGGTTCCAGTCTACCTTTTGCTGAAAGAAGCCTCTCTCTTCTGCATACTTTTCCCAGTACTACTTTGAGGCATATTTTCCATGACAATTTACAAGTTTGTTTATTAAGTCATGAAAACTAGTATTGGTACAGCACCTGGACYGTTCCTTAGAGGTCTCCTTTCTCATAGAACTTGCTTGGTTCACAATATTACCCTCCTAACAGAAATGGCCAGATATTTTCAGGTGACATAACAAATATGTCTTAAACATGACCATAAAAACATTGACCAAAATGCACTGTGAAATACAAGAMTGTCATGTAGGGACTCTCTAAAGCATTAAGTCTTATTTTATAACAGAAGGACTTAAAAAAARTTTCATCTTTTAGTAGGACAATTTAAAGTTTAGAAGAAAGCAAGTGTGAAATGTAGTCTTATAACAGTTCATTCCCCACCCTCACTTAGGGTAACTTTGAATGAGGAAAAGCAAGAGAGGCAAACTCTTACTCCTTTGCTGCAAATGCACAGGCGTTATTCAGTATTTAATACACACAAGCAAAAGAAAATCTGGCTCTAGCAAAACATTCTAAGAGGTCAGACTCTCCAAGAGCAGAGCATTACAGTGATACACTAACACTAYTGCCAGCAATATAGGACAAATATATACCAAAATATAGGACTAGAATAAATATAGCCTGCTCGCGTGTCTGACAGGTGCAACCAATGGTTTAAACCAAATTCCTTTCAAAGCRCTACACATTCATACAGAGCTACATACTTACATGCCCCAATGTACTTTAATGGAACAAGTCTTCTGAGTGGTGCCAAACACCCCTGTTTCTTCAGTGTCATCAAAAAAGGAAGTCACGATTCCTAACCCTTCAGGCTCTGTATACAAATCAATTCGGCAAACCCTGTAATCCTGAAAAATGAACATTGCCATAATCATTAAYTCTGTGCTGTGAGTTCTGTAATTACTGCACATAACTAAATCAGTTTTGAAACACCTGTGTATTTTAAATTGTTTTCCCCCTTGTCAATTACTACTGCTTTTAGATGCCTATAATAAAAGTATAGCTAAGCTAGTTTGCCTGTCTCTGAACCAAGACAGTCAGTCAATCCCTAATCAGCATTTACATTGTTTACTTTCTGCCATCTAGGCAGGAATGCATCTTCTTTCATCAGTTAACATCTCCTCTAGCAAATTAAATCCTAAGATAACACCAAGCAAGCCCTCCTTGAAGAGAACTGCAACTCTTAAAAGAATTGTAGTTACAAGCAATATATATTCCTCCTTTTTCCTTTCCTAGGCAAATAACTTTATAGCTCGTGCTTGTTTTGGCAACCTGCAAAGGTAACTACTTAATGGTAGGTTAAAAGTGCATGAAGGAAGGCTGTTCCACCACATGTGAAACTCCCTGGTAAGTTTGGTGTTTAATACTGAACTTTGTATTGAGTGTAAATTTGGTTTATATTGGAAAAACACAGAAAAAGCCATATTTTGAGAAGACAGAATTCATGATGTTTTTCTGGGATGCTTTTCCTGAGACTGACCAGACTACAAAGCATATGCTTCATGTAGCATTTTGGTGGCTATTCTAATAAAAACCACCGAGTTTTGTTCCTACCCTGTCCTTCCTTTTGGTGTTACCATAGTCCCCACTGTGCAAAAGCCCCCACGTGAATTCTGCGATCAAACATCGCAGAATGTTTGTTTAATGCACTTTTAGCTCACATTACACTTGTGTCCTAACAGACAGTCACACTTTGTATAAAACATCACTACACATTAGGATCCACACAAATATTTTTTTTTTACTTATATTACTTGCCTTAACAACATGTTTTATCGAACCGATCACTGCAGGCTTTTGAGATTTGCRGTCACTTTGCTCTTCAGAAGTACCTGTACCCCAAATATCTGTGAGTTCCAACTCTCCTTCTTCCAATGGAACAGAGGGGCCTTCAAAATTTGGTTTCTCATAGAGTATCCAGCTTAAAATAAATTTAAAAAAACCCTAATTTTTAATGCTGCTTTATCAAGTGTGATTTGCAGACAATCATGTTCCCAAGTAACAAATCCTTTCACACACAGCACTSTTTCCAGACCTTTCCCATTTCCCCACTACATCTTATTTGTCTGACACTGATGATRCAAGCCATTTCCAGTCCCTGTGATACCTTTAACAGCAATGATAAAACCTAAGATTTCTACTGCTGAATTGTACTTTCACACAAAACTCCTCCACCTTGTTAAATTGATAATTCGAGGCAGTCTTTGTATGAGATACTAATCAGAACMAATGTGCTCATCAGAAAAAAAGGACACTGCAGGCTGCTGCATTGTGTTATAAACAGACAAGTTGCTTGGATCCTATGAASAACAAGCTGGAGTMGATGTGCCAAGGATGGCAAGACTGMTCAGAAGACRGGGACAASTTYGTTTTTAATGGCAGGTTGGAATATGTAACTACCTAAAAACTTCATCGCTCTGCAAATATAAACTCTTCACTCAGGCTCTCAGTGGAAGGAGAGARAAACCCCAATCCCAGTCCCTCTACACCATTCTGGAAAAGACAACTCAGTTTGCATAGATCAAAAGGTTTTCATTCCAGTTTTCTGAAGCTAAACAGCAATCAGTGTGCTTCCCAGTACCTCCTACTGCAGCTAGCCCTTGTGTCTGCAGCTTCCTATCAGATAATTACTTTTGACAACCTGCTATTTGACTGCATTATAGCCTGGTCACAGCATAACTTGCCATGCTAGCCACACTACTAATGGCCCTTCTGTTGATGCTATGAAGACAGTAGGAGATGAACTTGTTTTGAATTGCTCTTAGGCAACACAGCCTTTAGAGCAAAACACCCCCTTTTGTCAGAGAAACAGTCAATTATCTCTACAGCACCATCTTATTTCTCTGCTCATGAAATTCATCATGTTAGACCTGCCTCTGAACTTATTTGCTAGCCTTTTAGCCCAATCCAAATACTATGMAAGAATCCCTAATGACCAGAGGTGYTGMAGGGCAAAATAGSTGGACAGAATCTGTCATTTCATCCCACACCTATGCCTGGTGAAATCTTCCACCCCTCCAGAYGGTAACACTCAATCAGCAAAATAGGTTTTCCTGCTCAGAACTTCCTATTGCAGAGGCAAGATGCCAAGCTTCTTGCTCACAGGCGTYCATGTTACATTGCCATTTACAAGGCAGACTTACTGTGAATTACACGGCAGTTCTGTTTCAAAACATTTTTGATAGAGTAAAAATCCTTGGATAAAGAGTAAAAATTGATCTCTTACCATCCTCTGATGACTTTAACTAAAATTGTTGGTGTCAGAACCCAAGAACTGCAATCTGGAACATCATGGAAAACTTCAATGCCAGCTTTTTGGCAATCTGAGTCACAGTATATCACCAGCTGTGTTTAAAAAAAACGAAACAGAAAAACACACCAGCAACATATAATTCTATCTTCCTAGGCTTTAAACATAGAAAGGAAGAGTAAAACTATAAAAATTCATCTTACCTTGCCAGGTCTGGGATTGATTTTACTTTGTCCATTTCTTGGAAGTGTCTAACAGACAGTGAGGAGAGAAAAATCACAAAAAAAATCCCGCAAAATCAAAAACATTTTCAATAAAGATACTCAGCTTTAAAAAAAAAAAAGCCTGGTAGAATAAGATAAAAACTACTCTGAAGAGTAAAAGCTGGTAAAATTTCAACTATACCTACTTACTGTTTCAATTTCTTCTTCCTTTYGCAGCACAGCATCTTGCCACAAATGTGCCAGTTTACACATTTTTTTTCAACTCTGAATTATCACCTCACTGAAGTTAACTAAATTCAGGTTTGAAAAGCTTTAAAATCCTCCTGATTAGCTTCCTAAATATTCCAGGAGTTCAATATCAATGAAACTACTTTAAACACTGGCATTGATAAAGAACATGTTGTACAATGATAAAGATAGGAGTTAAAATGTCTAAAAATGTCAAGCCATAAAGCATCARGTATTTTGAAAGAATATATGAAAATACCGAGGAAGCATGATGGCACTTACAAGTATAAGCCAATATCACTTTTGTGATGAAAACCTTGTAACAAGAGAGGTTTCCTCAAAGAGCATGAGACTGCAGTGAGTGATAAACTAAAAATATTCAGAACAAATAAAACATATTTTGTATACAAAACCTAAAACAACGCTGAAGTCAGCAGTAAATTATATGACATAGAGTATGTGGGAAAGTTGTGGTTGCATCACGTCATCTTCAAACAAAGCAAGCATTGAAATGACGTGTTTGGTTTCTTAGCAAAGACAGGATGCTCATTCTGGGAAGGGTCCTGCTCTTTTAGGAATTATTCACACAAACAAAAAGACCAAGACAGACCCTGCCCATAAACAGGTAACCAGCAACACACACAAGGAATTAACAAGAACACATTAGTTAACGTGCAGAGCAGRCAGTGGTCACAAGACAGAGTTCTTAACCACCACCAGGCTTTTGTAGGCATCATCAAGACATGTTGAAGCATGACTGGTTTTTTAGCCTGCGCTTCAGTTCCAGTTAAAACTTGTTCTGTGTTTTGAGGAATGCCCAAGTCATTGTTTTGGGCTGCCCTCACTCTTTCCTTCACATTACCCACTAGCCATTGCATCATCATCTTCTTAGTCAGTGGAAGATGCACGGTAGGTGCAGATCACAGAAACATTTTTGACTCCTGTCTAACTTAAACAAGACAATTCAGTCAGCAACAGAATGTGCCACAGGAGTCCAGAAACCTTTTGAATCCCTAAAGGGATTCTCTCAAGAGCAGTTGTAGGTATGTACACGCCCCACTGCTATATCAAGCTCCACACTCTGCTGTAAAATTAAAACCCACTCAAGAATAACAGTTTAAGCAGCAAAAACCAAACTAAAACAGGACTAGACATTTAGCTGTAAATTCAAGTTTTTAAACACAAGCAGGACCATTAGARTAAGAAAGCCTGTTTAACTGGCAACATAAATCCACACTATTGCAAATAACCTCCCTCATTTTCATCTCCACACTAATTAAGAAAACTTTCCCCAAGAAAAGAACCTACATTCTTAAAACTGTAAGGTACCATGGATGATTACCTACTGCAAGGTGATGAAGAAAGGAGCTATTTCTACTACCTCACTCCTTTTAGYAGAACTGTTACAGCAGATAACCATTACCTTTGGAAAGTACTTCTCCAACTTCCTACAAAGCTGCTTCAATTCCACAGGTCACGTTCATGTGGCTATTAAACTTTAGAAACCTATTTTTCCCAGAGTTTTTAGATTTCTTGATTATAGTTTTCCTCTCAGGTCACAACAAGGGCTTATAGTAACAGAAATAACAAATACTATGGGACATTGGTTCACCATTTTAAAAACAGAAATTACAAATATATTCCACATTAAAGAAGTAGCTTTGAAGCAACTTCTGTCTTCACTTATGAGGAACAGATGCTTGTAATCAGACCAAGGAACAGCCTGTTTTATTTGTTCTGAATATTTTTAGTTTATCACTCACTGCAGTCTCATGCTCTTTGAGGAAACCTCTCTTGTTACAAGTGTAGCAGCACTTTCAATTATCACTACTATCCAGTGCTCAAAGTTTTCTTAGAGGATATATGTTTTTCTGCCAAATGCATGGGAGTACAACAGAGGGCTAAAATAAAAAACTTGCTCTTTTACTTATTTAWCAGTACAATGACTGAATGTCTCGTTGGAAAAGAAAAGAGATTACTGTCAATGGAAGTTTTCTMAAGTTGACAGAATGCATTCTACTAATTTGCAATAAAAAAATTAAAGTTATCATGAGATTTGTTTTAATATAACACAAAATCAAGGATGAAGATATTCAGACATATGCTTTCCATTCATATTTGCAAAAAGTCTCAAATGCACCTTAGTCATATTGACAGATACCATCTCATTTTCATTTTCAGATAAAACTGGTACCATACCTGAGTTCACCTCAATGTATTTGTAATCTGTATATAGCTCTAAGAGGGCAAACAAAACAATGTATGTATATTGCCTATAGAAAACATTAATTGCTGGATAACTTTGCATGCAGTTTTTAAAAAACATAATACTTACATCCACATCTAATAAACCAGGAGGGACATTTGGTTCATATCTGTTTGTCCCTAACCAGCTGGAAAAACTTTTCTCAGGGTTGCCATAGTTGGGCATTTGTAAACTTAGTTCTTTTTTTGCACTATCTGCTTGCAGGTACTTCTCCACAAAACTTGGCAACTTCATATCTGAAAGAGACTGAATTGCAAAATCAAAATTAACCATCATTCAGCAGGTAGACAAACATTGTTTCATTTCCTGAATGATCTTTATTACCTCAGATTTTTGAGGCATGATGAATGGCCCAGAAACATCCTGCTGCAAAGGAGGCATCCCTGAGGAGTCAGTTGCAAAAGCTGTTGTGTTATTTACTGAAGTGGCAGAAGGACATAAAAACTTTTCTTTAGAAGACAGCAAGCTTGAGAAGAGGGAGCTTTTCTCAACTCGTGATCTCTTAATTTCACCATCTGTACARTCCATGTTCTCTTTTCCATTTGTTTCGTGAGCAAAGGCAGGTTCCTCTCTACATGACTGCAGAGCTTTGAATATGATACTTTGCTCTGTTGATGCACGCTTGGGTCTGACCCTGGCTATCGTTTCCAGGCTTTGCATTTTAATTTGCTGGGCTGGTAACAGATCCTGTGTTTTCTCCCTCCTCAGTCCCAAACCAAAAGTAAATACACTAGGATCAAATACTTTCTCTAAGTTGTCTTCATGAATAGGAGGCATTGCAAAGTGRGGTGCTGGTGACTTTGGAAGCTTTGACCTCTTCTTTTTCTGGGGTAAACAAACTGAGCTGTCTAAGTTTTTTATTGTTTCAGCAAACTTCTTCATGTCAGATGGGGAATCAAAAATGCTGTCATCTTCAGCAGACCCATTACAGGCTTTGCCTGGGCTCTTCTGTGTATTGGAACTGTGCTCTGATTCTAATATAGTGTCTTGATTGCTGTCATCATACTGCAGTGCTGCAAAGTTCAAATCTCCCGGCTTTGCCTTTTTGTCTCCATTTTCCAGCATCTTAAATTTTGACCTAGAAACCTGATGAGATAGTAGAGGATATTTACCATTATTGCAAGGTGATAAAGCCTCTGTGTTTGGCAGCATCTTTTCWTCATTTCTGTGGAATTCTGAGCTTGTGTAATTTCTTTGGTAGAAAGTATCTTGAGCATTTTCACTTTTAACCGGTGAGTGCAAAGACACTTTAAAAGGTGAACTTTCTTTYTTTGCAGTGGTTAATTCTGGTTCTGGTTGCTTCAGAGACACAGAACCGGCCTCACTTTTGCTGCTTTGGTTAAAAAGGGATACGGCAGCTCTTACTTTAAGCTCTGTTGTCTTCCCAATATCCTYGTTAGAGGCAAAGCCTTCTTCATTTCTGCCTTTTAATTCTGCAGTGCTTTCCTTCTCCTGTGTGCCATTYTCAAATAACTTTTGGCGACTGCTTTGCTTATTTAATGTTTTATCAGGCTGTTCATTTTCTTTAGGTTGTTTACCAAATTTTAGTTTKGCTCTGCCAACGAATGTGCTCAGTCCAGTACTATTTTTTGAAGCAGGGATGTCTGTAGGCCTCTGGTTCTGGTTAGCACATTTGTTTTCAAACAAGGAAATTTTGTTGGCAATGTTGCTGTTAGTTTTATTAACTGGTTTTTCAAGAGCATCCTGCTCACTTTCTAAACTGTCTTGATTCGTAGGTGTTTTAAAATTCAGCTCTATATTCTTCGGTTTGGCTGGACTASAGGAGGCAAAGTGACACAGAGTGACATCTTTAATTAATCTTGCACAGACTTGTAACAATTTTCAAAACAATGAAATGTAGCATTATAACCATAGACTTAGTTTAAATTTTGGTATCACAAAAGGAATCAACTACAAGAGGAGTAACTATATGGATAAAACAATTAGGCACTAAATAAGGAGCATATATTTCAAACATGTACTTAGTTCTTTAAGATTAGTAAAAAAAAAACACAGCAGCCTACAGCATCTGCAGCWGAAGCAGAGAATTCAACTACTTATGACTGACAGACATTAAAATTTAGTAGTGAAAAGGCAGAATAAATTATAAACTGCAACTCCCTACAGAGTTTAGAAAACAAATCCCAATTCATTAAGGTGATAATGAGTTGGTTAACGTTTGCATATACCTCACCAATGAGTTTTGAAGACATCTGCCCAGATTCTTTGCAGCCTTTACACTTGCACTGCAGAAGCAACCTTAAATTGAGTGAAAGAACTCTTCCAGCTTCATGAGTGCTTGCAGAAAATGTTAACTGTCCCCACACACTGCATCACCACCTTGGCTAAGCCAACACCATATGTGAGGATTCTTCCACTTCCTTCAGGTAAACTTAGCTAATGACATAAATCGTGTAATCTAACCCTAGTAATTTTATAAGAACGGAACTCAGAAAACACAAAACTTGTCTATCAGAGTGGACAGAGAGGCATGTACAAGCACATAGCACACAGTACTCCTGTGCTCTGGCAGAAGGCTGATGATGCACAGCTGATTGTTTCAAGCCTCCTTTCCTCTGAATACCTACAAGCAGGAAAAATCGCTTGTCCATGTCACTTGCTACTGCATACTGCACAGTATGAACAGCTGTGAAGATGCAGGGCAGATGGCTCATCAGTTCAGATCTAAGGCATGTCAAGGAGCCCACCATCACCTCAAAGGCAGACCTGCTCTCCAAAGAGGAATCTGAGAAGACTCAGCAGTAGGAGAATAGGTAGAAACTGCCTTACATGAAAATTTACAAAGGTGTGGAATAAGAAGAAAAAAGTTTGCAGCAATCTCCAGGGCCCCAAATGTTCTACCAATCARTGGATGATTCTATATTTAAGGTGCTTTCCTCTTTTTTT